TTTCTGCCAAACCATTTTGTTGTGGAATACCTGCAGTAGTTTTGTGCCTTGCAATACCTGAGGCAACACAAAAAATTTCAAACACCTCATTGCAAAATTCAAGGCCATTGTCGGTTCTCAAACACTTGACCTTTCTCCCAGTAGGATTTTTGACCAGAGTCTTCCAACCTTCAAAATTCTTAAAAGTTTCATCCTTAGTCTTCTGGATGAATACCCATAATTTCATGGAATAATCATCAACTATGGATAGAAAATACCTTGCTCCTGGATGTGATAGACACCTTGCAGCCCCCCAAAGATCAACATGGATGTAATCAAAGGATCAATGAGTTCTTTGTTTGCCTTTGTTGAACTTCACTCTACAAGATTTTCCAAGTACTCAGGATTCACTAAATTTCAGCTTTTCGACTTTGTCTCCTCCAAGCAGATTTTGTTTCCCTAATTTGACCAGACCCCTTTCACAGACATGGCCCAATCTCATGTTTCAAATTTCTGTTTTCGACAACAGTTTCGTGGATGCAACATTTGTCGAACTATTTACAACTTCAGCCTCAAGGGTATACAAGCCTTGTTTCTTCACGCTTCTCAAGATTTCCTTCGACCCCTTCATGTCTCTTATAATACTTTTATCTCCTTGAAAAACATATCCCTTCATGTAGAATTCAACAAGAGAAATCAAATTTCTCTTCAAACTAGATACATACCTAACTTCAGTCAATAACCTTATTGACTCATCATGGAGCTTGAATCTAACATATCCAATAACTGCAATTTTGCAAGATTTGTTGTTTCCCAGCAGCACTGATCCACCATCTTGATCACATAGCTCCTCGAGCAATTCTCTGTTTAGAGTCATGTGCCAAGTGCAACCTGAATCCATAATCCATTCATTTCTTGAGTCGCCGCTTGAAACCACAAGAACATTAGATAATTCGAAGTCATCTTGAATAATGGCTGCATTGCCATTATCTCTACCACTATGATCTTTCAGGCGTTCAGGGCACACTTTTTTTGTGTGACTCTTCTTCTTGTCTAACTTACCACCTTTTCACAAGAATTTTCTCTTAACGGCCAAACCTTCACCAACCATCGAAGGTTTATGCTCATTTAGTTTGTTCAAGTCCTTAGAATACAAGGTTGATTGAACTTCTTCAAAGCGCAGAGTCTCCCTTCTATACAAGAGAGTTTCTTTGAAGTGATCAAGTGTTATGGGCAAAGCACACAACAACAACAATGCTTGATCTTCATCATCGATCTTCACATCATTATTTTCAAGATCAAGAATCAGCTTGTTGAACGTATCCAACTCCTCAGCCAACACTTTGCCTTCACTAATCTTGAATGAATATAAAACTTGCTTTAGGTATAATCGATTCACCAGAGATTTTCTCATGTATAAACTTTCAAATTTCAACCATAACCCCGACGTCGTAGTCTTCTTTGATACATATCAAAAAACCTTATCACCAAGGCTCAACAATATTGCGTTGTGGGCTTTCTCTATCATGACCATCTTTTCTTTTTCCGTTGACGCAACATCCACGACTGTCTCTCCCTTCAACGCTTCCATACAACCCTGCTGAACCAGTATGACGTTCATTTTCAAGCGCCACATACTGAAATCGTTCACTCCGGTGAACTTTTCAATCTCTTACTTTGTTGAATGCATCTACTCAATGCTCACCGCACCAATTTGTTGTGAATTATAATGCATTAAAACAAAATTTACTCGGTTTCTTTGTGATCAAGAAACCCACAAGGATTAGGGTTAAGGAAAAACAAATAACCTTCTCACCCTAATTAGGTTTTGTCACACCACAAATGAGAGACTAGTATGCTATTTATAATAAACCTAATATACTAAATTAATGGGCATTTAACAATTATCTGTTACAAGTTAACTTTGGGTATACACTAACTTAAACAATTGAATCATTAACATAAGGCCCAATTCGACAACTACATACTATAACACAATTCGACTACATCATATAGGTCTTTGACAACAACATGTGAGAAGACTTCGACGACATGCTAAACTAGAATTTGATCCAATATCTCACAAATGGATTCTTCTGTAAAAAGTCAAAACTACTAACAAATTGTCAAAGTGGGTGTGTAGAATGTTGTGCTACAATTTTACCTCAAGTTTGATTTTATCCAATTTTAATATTAATACCATGATTATCTCCAAAAATTTTGATGCTAATGAAATGGATAAATTTAAGCCAATTTTAAGTTTAAAATTATCTCAAAAGATCCAGCAGAAACCGACTCAAATCATGCGATTTTTTGTCTAAAGAAATGCTGAGTAGAAGTATCTCTAAATTGTTAAGATACCATCTCATATTTTATATATTGATGATATCCTTATTTTTTTTCAAAGGAACCCTTGCCAACATCAAATCTCTGTGTGGTCTCTTCATCAACTATGCTCGAACATCTGACAAGATTTTCAACACCTCAAAATTATTGGTTTGTGCATGATCCATGAATGATGCTAGATTGAGCCATATCTTACATATAAATGGCTTTACAAATACCAACTCTGGTTTGATAACTTAAAAACTTAGGGGTGTTTGTTTCAAGTTTAGAAATAAGATTCTAAAGCATACTCATGTTTGTTACAAGATTGAAAATAATTATTTTTAGGTATAAAGATTCCAAGAAAAAAATAACTTCATGTAACTTTCAATATTCCCATTAAATTATTCTCAAGTAAAAGGATAGGAATATGAATTTCCATAAAATTTTATAAACTTTTTTAAAAAATTAATTAAAACCTTATTTTTTTTCAAGGAATATCAAAATATTTGCTAAACAAATTTTCAAAAAATTCCTTAGAATAAATTTCCTATCTTTATTTCTCGAATAAGTATTTCGAATTAATTTTTGACTCTTCGAAACAAACATCCTCTTAAAAATAGATGATGCTTGCTCAAAAACTTTTCTTTTAACATGTCTTTCACTATTTTCCAAGATATATATAAAGAAGATAATAGTTGTCCATACCTTGATGATTAGAAAAGATTAAGTAAATAATATGTTTTGATTGCTTTTTCTTAGATTCAAATATTCTGAAGTGAATTTTGACTTAGTTCCCCTTTTCTTTTAGTATATGAATCTTCTTTTAAAATATATTTGACTCATTTAAAAAAATAAATAAAGTTGTACACATTAATATTTTAAAAAAATTAATATATAAAATAAATATATTAAATTCACTAGTATATTTTTTAACATAGATGAAAAAAAGGGTAAGAAATGTTTATGTAAAAAGAGAGATTAAACTGTATATATAACAAGTATTTACACACCCTCATTCTTTTAAAAAGATTATAGATATATACAAATTATCTCTCTTTATTTATTTATTTTATTTTTAAATTCTGTGTAAGATAATCATAATTTAACCGTTATAAAACAATTAAAAAGTCTATTTAATTATTAAAATTGTATGAATTCAATTTAAATATAATTTAATTATGAACATTTTTTAAAGTCTATGTATTAATCCATTTACATATCCTCAAAAACTATTACATTCAATACAAATGAAAAATATCTACATAAAAGAATATACAAGAAAAAAAGAAGATATTTTTACTAAAATATTATTTTCATTTTTAATATTAATATAAATAATTGATTAAAATAATATTAATTAACGATATAATTAAAAAATATTTGATTAATATTATATTCTTAAAATAAATACTAAAAGGATCGGAGATTATGAATTCAATCTCAAACAAACTAGAAAACTAATATGATAAGAATAAATTAATTATTTTAACTCATATTTTAATACAAATAACAAATTATTTTAGAATAGAAGAAGTATTTCGTTTTTTTATTACAACAAAAGTTAAGTATTATTAGTAATTTAATAATTGTAATTAATTGATTATATATATAAATCAACCCTTTTTTATATTCGGATAAGTAAGATACTAATTGATATGTTATTTAAGTTAAATAAATGTAAATTGTTAATTTGAGTTTCAATCTTTAACACTTATATGTATTTTTATGTTTTTATAAAATATTATATTTAAATTTATAAATCAACAATTTCGTTAAAATTTTTTATATTTCATAATTCCAGAATAATTCAAAATTAATTTTTACAAGATATTTATTACATATAAATCAATAATTAAAAAAACTCATTTTTATATTTCATAATTCCAAAATAAGTTAATTATTTTTTTACAAGATATCAATTTTGAATAAAACTTTAAAGTTCCAAAAAAATTTTCTTTTAATTTTACAAAACATTTCTGCTTTTAATGTTCATAATTTTTTTACAATAAAGTCAATATTAGAAAGGAAAAAAAGTCAATAGTCTTTTATTTATTTATTTTTCTAGATCAATTTCCACTCTTTTTGTAGCTTCATATATATTCTTTCTCTCTTTTATTAATAATATAATTGAATGTCCAAAAATTAATTTAATTAACAAAAGTCAATATTATTAAAATGAATTTTATCATTAAAACTATTACCAAAAAAATACATATAATAAAAATAATATATTTACTAATATACTTTTATTACAAATATTATTGGAAATAAATTAGTAGTACACATGAAATTTTTTAAAATATCTTAAAAAGAAAATTGCAAATATAAAGAGTAAATTTTATAATATAAAAAATAATTTATTCAATTCTTTATTTGTTGATGAATGAATGGATTGGAAAACAAGGAAGGAGAGTAGATGGAATGCCACGTTAAAGAAAAGAGTGTATATATAATATATGTACTATGTGTAGGGTCCACACGAAGCATCGATAACCATAACCCATCCTTTAGGTTTGTTTGTCAACAACAAATCCACAACCATATATAAACCCTCTCATCTCACTTTTCTATCAATTTATTACACACATTCTCACATTTCACAATTCACAACACAACACAAACTTTTCCTCTTTCTCTCTCTATTCTTCCTTCATTTTCGCTCGCAACCACACCAACACTCTCTTTCAGAGCTCATGTGCCAATTCGACGACGATAACTGGGTCGAAACGGCCATGGCTGACGTCAACTTAGTCGCCAACTTCCTTATCACCATGAAGAAAACATCGTCTCCTCCGTCTTCTTCTTCACTCTCTCCGCCTCTTAATCTGCGCTGGACCGTTCGTCAACGCCGTTCCAAGTCCCGCACTCGGAAAATGAAAACCGATTCGACAAGAGCAAGTCCCACGACGCCTCTTTCCTGGAGCGCCGCCACTTCCGCCAGTGGCGCCGACGAAGAATCCAGTCGTCTCACCAAACCGGTTCACACTTCAAGATCTAAGGTTCGATTGCGATTTTCATTCTTTTTTTAATACCGGTTTAATTTTTCCGGTTCGGTTTTTTTTGTTCACGCGTGCCTTGTTGTTTGGAACTCTTTTTCTGGTTTCTTTCTCATCTGACTCTGACACTTTTGAGTTTTTATTTCTCATTATTGAACGAGAATACCATCTGGGATTTTGTCCGTAAGGGTAGTTTCGTCATTCTGGTAACAGATCGGTGCTTTCTTTCGTCTTCGATGACCGGAACCACCGTGGAAGCCTTCAGTTAGTTTCCCTTAGATTTACAACTCAGGACTCTTGTTGCGATTTTTTCTCGCCGCATTAATCAGAAATTACCGAAAACGCCCTTCTAAGAATACTTGTCTTTTTAAAGCTCTTCAACCTTTTTGTTTACTGTTTTATTAAGTTATTAAGTTTTAACTATTTTATCTTTATTTTATTTTTTGTTGTTTTGTAAGAATAGTTTTAAATAACAGTAATTATAAAAAAATTTGAAAAACTATTTTTTTAATGAGAAATAAATGTTTTTGACTACATAAATTTTGTTAGATGCATCTGTCATAATTGCTTAAGCGGCGAACTACTATCAAGGGTATTTTCGTAACATCGAAGTGTCCACACAAAAGTTGTGGTTATGTGTACTTTTATAGTGCTTGCGTAATAAGATTGCGGAATATAATCCTCTGTGGTCTCCCTCACTGTACTTCTCCGTGCGGACGCGTTCACGTTGATTTTAGTTTTTTGTTTCATTCATTCTCTGACAGGAACTAAAAAGAGAAGCTACGACAAAGTAAAAGAGATGAATCAGTTAAATTAATTACAATTTTATCCTTTTTCTTTCCTTCAATTCGTTTGAATGACAGCTTAGCTTGATAACAACTTTTAATTCGGATTTTCAGTTGCTTTCTTATTCCAAAGGATAAGATGGTCTTTTGCAATTGTTGTAAAGTCCACGTCACGTTTTTTTAGTATAATTAATAACTCTTCTACAATTGGGTATCTATAGAAGATACATATTATTATTTTTATTTATTTATTTATTTATTTTTGGTTATTTAGTCTGCCTGACTAAATTTCACCAGGAACCCACGCTCTGCATCTGATGTTCTACCAACCGCATTGTATCCGATGCCCCTATCATTTGAGCTGGTTTATCGCAAATTTTAATTCTATTTTTTATTTCCACTAAAGTATATGAAAAAAGTGGTTATTTTAATTACTTGACAATATTAAATTATCAAGTGGGACATAGGAGTGTGTGCAAAAAAATAGGTGATGTTATTTATCTTAGAAATCATGGCATTTTATAAGGTTAGTGAGATTTACGTGTATATAGTACGGAATATTACAGAGTAGGGGTGAATATAACATTAGGATAGAATATGGTACGTTGATTACTGTGTTCTGAAGATAGATACTGGTGTGGTGGGGTAGTACTATACTACAAGTAAATAGTGATAGTATTCTCTTACATTATTGCATTTATAATTGATGGTTGAGTACCATTACTTTCAAAACCTGTTCTTAAATTCATTTGTTTTTTATGAGTTTTGACTGTTTGGTTTAATGTGATGTGATGAATATGAATATGTTCTGATTTATGGGTCTAATATTTTTGTATCTTGCAGGTTGAGGAGCAATGTGAAGCCAGTGGCAACAAAAGGCTACGAAAGAAAAGGGTAAATACAGACTTTTGTTTGAATGTCTATCTTTTTGCATTGCACATCTTTTGTCATAATAATTTCATCATACTCTTAAGCAAAATGTTGTGTCCTGTTTTCAGTTACATGCTTAATGTGTTAATGCTCTTGTGCAGTCACTACCTGAACTACTTGAGGAAGAGAGGTTGCTTTTGAAAGAAAGGGGAAATTTGAAAGATGTATGATTTTTACTAGTTCTAGTTTCCTTATTTTCTGTGTTTTTAGACTTTCTTGTTTGGAGATATATTTCTTACTTAATGTTTTTTGTTTTGAGCAGAGAGTGGCATCCATGCATCTCAATGTTGAGAAACAAAGATCTAACAATGAAAGCTTAAAGAAAATGAAGGTGATAACTTCTTGTTCTTCAACCCTTTATAAGACCTTTACGTTTTCAAAATTAAGTTGTGCTTTTGTTATATATTGCCAAAGTAAAAACTTATGCTTAAATAATGACTATTAGTATTGGTATATCTATCTAATCATGTCTTTGATTTGTTGTAACAGCTTGATTTGGTGTCACAAAAGAACACAGAAACAGCCAGAATCTCTCTTGTGCCAGAAAAGAACACAGAAACAGCCATAATCTCTCTGGTTTCTGGAAAAGCTGTTCTTCACACACCGCAGGTTGCGGATGCAAACTGCGGTTCATCATCTAACTTAGTCCAAGAGAAGAAATCAATTGTCATTACAGAGGGTGCTTCGTCATCTAAATTAGTCCAGCCTCAGACAGTTCAAGAGAAAAAATCAGTTGTCATTACAGAGGGTGCTTCATCATCTAAATTACTCCAGCCTCAGACAGTCCAAGAGAAGGAATCAGTCATTACAGAAGGTGCTTCCTCATCTGTGCAACGGGAGATTCATCAAGAGGTTAATAACCGAGAATTACCATTCCTGCTGCCTGATCTAAATCTACCTCCAGAGGAAGAATAAAACTACAACACTTTTTTTAGATAAGTTTATTAACCGAGTCTGCGTACTTATATGTTAGATCTTGATCTTTATAAGATCTAACATTGGTACTGAGTACTAACCAACCTTAGGTTATGCTAATGTAACTGCTGGTGGTGCTATTCCATTTGCTTCCCTCAAATAGTCAAAATCACTGAAAATTAATTTTTTTCAGTTCATGGTGGTACCGAGGGTAGTGTAACTGTAGTCACTAGCCATTAGAGATTCTGATAACATTAGGCCATAGTTTCATTTTTCTTCTTCTTTTCATGCTTGTTCAAGATTCTTTTGAGGAAATCCCTCAAACTTTTTTCTTCCTTTACTATAGAAATTGAAAATATTTACTTATAAATGTAATTACATGGTCTGTGGTTTTATAATTAAGACAATTCATTAATTTTGGTTATTTTAGTAGGTTGTGGTAGTGGAATATGAATTTGTGAATTTTTTGTTGTCTCAATAAATTAACTGTTTTCTAGAAACTTGAGGCTGGTAGGGCAGGGCATCTTAAAGTTAATAAGAAAAGCAACATGGTTTGAAAATAGATCTGGTCTATTTTGTAACTTTGTTGTGGGACCACAGCTTTCCTAAAATCAGTGTTATGATACTTTTAGGGATATATACAATTTATACTTTTTATAGAAAGATGGGAAATATGTGAGATCATATGAAAGGAGAAATGGGAAAGGAGTAGAGAAGTGTGAAATGAGCAAAGAATAAAGTGTGCAAAATCACTACTTTCTGAGAAATGGTGATCGCCAAAGAATATATCGGCGAATGATGTAAAACAATTTTGTGGGCTTTCAGCCTGTAGTTCACCGGAAACTTTGGGTCCTGTTGAATGCTTTCTTAAGAAATAGTATGAATAAACCATTCATTTGTCTCTCTAAATCTTTAGAATATAGAAATTATAACTAGTTTATAAATTAATATTGTTAATTTAGATTTTCAATACATGAATATCATTCAACTTTATGGCCTAGTGGATGGCCTAGTGGTGGAGGTTGGGTCTTGAGGACGTGTTCCTCTCAAGTCTTAAGTTCAGTTCATATAAAACTCTGCTATGGCTTTAAACAGGGCCTCCGATAAAACTCTGCTCTGGCTTTAAACAGGGCCTCCGAGATAGTTCAACAATTATTGATGTTTTTAAATTAATAGTTATTTTTAAAAATAAACTTATTTTTTTAAATTTGAGATTGAATTATTATATTTTTTTTTGTAGTCACATAAATAAGTCTAAAGAATTGTCATAAAATTGATTTTTAAACTGTCACTAATACATACAATCCATAAATTTTTTATAAGCAACAATATTGTTCTGGCCTGAGCCCCGACCCAACCCAATGATATACAATAAAGGCCCAATATGGTTTAAGTAGGCTGATCGAGCACGTGACCCCTCGACGGGCAGGGCATGCTCCTGTCGAGCAGAACAACGTGCCTCAAGACGTCCTCTGTGCTCTTCCCTTCGCGGGGAGGCGCTACCAACCACTGTCCCTCGTCGGGAATAACAGCCCTCCGCGGGCGGAATCCCCATGCCTACGAGCAGGGTTTCGTGTCTCCCCCACGCCCTCGTGTGCTCCCCCTCAGCGGGGAGACCAACACTCCTTCGGGAAACCTCGCGAGCTCCCCTCCGCGGGGAGATCAACGTGTCATACGCACGTTCTCCACGTGCTCCCCTCCGCGGGGAAACGTCATCAACCAACTGCCCACCTCCGAAAGAGTAGGTTAAACCCACTTTCCAGAGATCACGAGACAATTGGACTAGGGCGAAGACTACATTCTGGTCTTCACTACACCACGTAAGCCCTAGCAGTCACCTGGGTTGGGCCTGACAATCCAATCCAACTCAAGTGACCGTTGGCCCAGCGCTGGGGTCTCTCTATAAATACCCTCTTTCACAAGAGGGTCAAGTAATTCATTTCTTACCCCTTTTTTGTGCTTGTGACCACTCTGCCCCTATACTTACTTTGGCATCGGAGTGCATTGCAGGTACACCCCTCCTCCTCCTCATCACCGATGAACAGGCAGTAGCCCAACAGTGTGTGGCCAGCTAGTAATCCCCTTCTGACCAGGTCAGATCAAATATATTCCTAAAAAAATACGAGAAGTATTCCACCCAACATATAACTAACAATACAACCAACACCTACATTTAACAAATTTACATATAAAAAATAGTTGGACATTTGTACAATTCATAATAGTTATAATTTACTCTATGATTAGAGTCTAAAGCCTAACCTTGTTATTGTATATAATATGATTCCTTGGACCCTATATACACAGCAAGTGGCAAACCAAATCAAATACTCTGACGATTTTGAGCATTTCCTTATCAATCTAACAAACCAAGTCGTGATTTGGTCACAATAATTATCTTCAACAATCTACAATATCCCAACCCAACCTACTACCATCTTCCAAACTAGTCTAATTCTAAGATAAAAAATAAATACATGATTGATCATTATAATTAAAGCAAAAAAAAGCATACCTTGTCATGGATATTGGTAATAATTTATCTCACAACAAGATTAGACTGAGTCAGTAGTTTATTTATAAACAATCTCCATCCAAAGATCTTCACTTTCATTGGGATCACAGATTGTCACAATAGTACTAAGTCTGTCTTGTGGGCACTCTCCAACTCGTCTTGACCACTAGCCTCCAAACGCCTATCATAACATGATTTAACAAATAATTAAGAGGTCCCTGAGGAAACACAAATGTATCAGAGGTCTCAACATTGGGTCTGACATCAGACAACAAATGCACTAATTCATAGTACTCCACCCCATAATGCTGGTTTCCTTCAAATTGTTAAAGCCTAAATTGCAATGCCACACCTCTCTAGGCCACTCCTCCATATCCCTGACCACCCCTTGTTTTTTGTCAGTAGATTCAAACAGGCCAGGGTATAGACTCATTAAGGTGGAATGACCAATTTATCTAGAAGTGCAAAATGGAATAGCAGTTCCATCGCCTAGTTTATAAGATAACAACTTACTAAAACATGCATCCTCCAAAGAGTCACAATACTCCATCAAATCCCTCCACAAAGTGATTCTTGGCTTAATACTCTTGACACATCTTTGGAAAAAATTCTTCTAATCATATTCCCATACCTGTATTCGAGGATTAACCCCCAATCACATTGCTCTCTTGATGAATCTTCATAACCATTTTGTTAAAAGGACCCTATTAAACACACCAAAATCTTTGATCCCAATCCCTCTAAACTCTTTTGGCTTACACACAAAGTTCCAACTTACCCAATCCATACTTCCTTTATCTATCGAGCCAAACCATTAAAACTTCCTTTGTATTGAGACTATTTCCTTAACCACTTTTACTGGAGCTTTAAAGAAGTAAAGATGATGAATAGACAAGTTCATTAGAACATAATTAATCAGTGTGACCCTTCACTTAATGGATAACATCCTTCCGTTCCATGATGATAAGTGTGTCTGGAAGTATGAAATAATCGGGTTCCAGAATGATACTCGTCTGTTATTTCCTCCTATTGTTAAGCCAAGAAATTTGAAAGGTAACAATTCACTATTGCAAGCCAATAACTGTGCAGCTGCCTTCATAAAAGATTCCTTATTCCTAACCCCATATAAGCGAGTCTTCCAGAAATTTATCTTCAAACCAGAAGCCATTTAAATTCCTCTTAGTATATATTTCATCCCCCATAGATTATACCACGTACTATCACACACGAGTATCGTATCATCAGCAAATTGTAGTAAACTATATGAGGTTTCATCATTTAGTTTAAAGCCACAAATTATATTCATTCTAAGAGCCCTCCTTACCACAAAAGCAAGACCTTCCACCACGATTGAGAAAAAGAAAGAGACAAGGGATCTCCTTATCTTAGGCCTACGGACACCTTGAAATCTTCCGTTGTACTCCCATTCACCAAGATTGACATATAACTAATGAGCACCCCACCTTTTATCCACTGCATCCACTTATCACCAAATCCCATATCCACCAACACCTTCTCTCAGAAATCCCATTCAACATAATCATATGCATGAGCAAAGTCCACTTTGAATAATAAACATACCCCTTTCTTCCTTTTAGCAAAGTATATAAGTTCATTTGCCACCATAACTCCATCAAGTAACTGTCTCCCCGAAATGAAAGTCATTTGCGTCTTCGAAATCAACCTTCCTATAAAATATCTTAACCGAGCTGCCAAAATTTTTGAGATCACTTTATATACACACCCTATAAGGCTTATTGGCCTATAATCATCCAAGCCTTAGGGGTTTTTAGACTTAGGAATCAAAGCAATGAAAGAATAAAGAATAGCTTTAGGTAATGTTGAAGTGTAATCAAACTCTTGAATACACTTGACCACATCACATCCAACCACCTCCCATCATCGTTTCAAGAAATCTAAGTTCAAACCATCTGGGCCTGAGATTTTTTCCTTTCACCATCAAACATAACCTCTTGGATTTACTCAACAGTAAAAGGTTCCTCCAGCCTCACGCTTTCTTCTATGGTTAGTTTAGGTAAGTCAGTGAAATCCATGGTTGACTTTTGAATCATAATACTTTGAAACCTTGATGCAAAGAATTCCTTAATAGCCTTCTTAATAGAGCTCACTTCTTCCACCATTTTAGAACCAACTTTAATAGATAAGATTGAATTTCTTCTAGTTCTACATTTAAGCATATAATGGAAGTATCTTGAATTTAGGTCTCCCTCCTTCACCTAATTCATTCTTGACTTTTGTTTAAGAATGATTTCTTTTAAGTGTCGGTTATTCCAAATATCTTGTTGAGCCACAATCCACTTTAGCAAATCTTCCTCTGAAGTTTTCCCATTATCAATCACCATGTCAGCTTCAATACCATTTAGAGTATCTACCCCATCTTCTATTCTCAAATCCACATACCCAAACACCCTTCTATTCCACCACCTTAATTCATTTCTTAAGCTTTTAAGCTTCTCTTTAAGTA